AGATGAATGGTATCTATCAATAGATAAAAGCTCAAGAACATTTTTAAAGAATCCTGGAGCCTATCTATCGATAAATGCTTTCAATCTATTGATAGATAACATTATTTTTGAAAAAATAAAAAGGGCAAAATGGCTAGGTAAGCCCCTCTCAAAACCTTCTCAACCCATTTTCACATCAAATCATCATTCTTAATAGTTTAAAGTTTGGTTCTTTAAAGTTAAAGCTTGTCTTTTTTATCCTGGAACTTTTGTTTCTTGGTTTAAAAATTCTGTTGGAACATTAAAGTTAAAGGTTTGTGAGTTTTCAAACCATTTAAGCTCATCTCAAGAAGAGTATAAGATTTATTGATTTTAGAATGGGTTTAGTGAGAGAAAATAGACTTAGTCAAAGGCAAAGAAATTTCGAAGGTTCTTAGAATGATTAATTCGAGATTGTTAGTTTAGAAATTGATTGCTATGATTATTGAGTGTTAGGAACAATCGAAAACTCAAAAAAAAAATCATCAAGGAAAGGCTATGATTGGCTTTTCAATTGAAGTTAATGGATACACCATTTTCAAAACTATTTTGATAAGTAAAGTTAAAGCCTGATTTGAGTAAATTTATTGAGTTTGATTTCTACAAATGTTTATGAAATGAAAATAATTATAGACGAGAAAAATATTTTAAAATTTGTTTTGCAACTTACTACGTATATAATTATTCTATTATGTATTAGTTTTCAACAAGAGGGACAAACACCTTATTGATTGAAGCACTCGAATGCTCTGGTCTTCGAACTAGTGTAGATACAAGATATGATTTATGATTAATGCATGTATGCTATGGTGTGTATGTTAGATATGTTGAGAGATGAAATGTGTGATGGATTGTATGATGATTTTTCATTTAAGATGCTATGTTTTATGTCTATGATGTGTATTCCATATACCATAAAAGGTGATTGATAAAGCATGATGAATACCATGAGATTATGTGTGCAATGTATGTTTTCCATACTACATGAGAAAATGGAATAAGCATGAAGAAATGCAATGAGATGAGTATATGATATAAATTCCATATACCTTATGAGATGAGTAGGCATATATGTGATGGACATTCCATTTACCAAATGCTATGAATATTAGAACTCAGCGAATGCGATTGATTCCACTCACACAAGGTGTAATGACGACTTTATTCCTATGATGCATCATAAACACCTAAAGTATAATAGGACTGTACATTGCCAACCCAAGATTGATGTGAGCCAAACCATCACAATGTGCAAATTTTAATATTAAAGGAATGATGATGATTGTTATGTCTAAGAAATGTTGCATATTAAGTTTGTTTTATGTTTTGTTTATGATTTATACTCTATGATGGTATGAGAATATGCTAGTGAAGTAAATTAAGCTCTAAAGATAGTCCCAAGAGGTAAGAGGACTTAAAAAAAAAGTAAAAATACAAAATTTTATCCAAAAAATAGAATTTTGGAGGCTATCCATTGATAAATATAGAACATCTATCGATAAATATAGAACATCTATCGATAAATAGAAGATAGAATGCAACAAAAAACATTCAACTTCAATTTTTGTTTTTTAAGCATTCTGCTTCAAATATATCGATAAATAATGATAGATGAGTCACAAAATTATATGTTTTGACTTGTTTGAAAGTTTTCCAAAAGCAAAAAGGTTTGTCAAAGTTAAGTAAATTTGTTTTCATGCAAATGCTATTTAAATTGTGTTTAAATATTATGTTTCATGAACTTTATGATTAAATAATTTATAAATGGTATGAGATTTCAAGTGTATATTTACGAAATATTTTTATCCCTTGGCTTATCCCCTTCCCATATCCGCTTACAAAATCTTTGTGACTCACAAGTTATTTTTTTCCATTTATTTTTGCAAATCAGTGATAACACTCTCTTACTAAACTAGTGTTACGAAGACGTAATCTGTTTATTCTTCATTAATAGTTGTCTAGTAGCCATTTAATGCCTAGCGAGTCGGGTTAAGTTCCACTGACAAGTTGATCTTTACTTTATGATTACGTTTATAGACTATGAACATGTTTATATTAATGTAGCCAATCTTGAACTTTTTACATTGATAATGTTATGTACGAGAGTATAATGATAGCTCAAAAGCCTATATGGACACCCAAGAGTGTTGTTGATGCTTAATGTTACTGTGCATTGTTATAATGGCACTTGTTACTATAAATGAAATTCTTGGATTTATACAATTAAGTTGAAAAGTTCATTAATTGTGTAATGAGTTTTATAAATGTATGCATGATTATATTATATGTTAATAGATGTTATAAGACGCTTCTACCTGCAATGATGAATGTTTAGTGATGTTTATGCTTGTTTGGATCTATGCACCAATCATGATTTTTTTAAAAAAATAGAATATAACACATTAGTTCTTTACTTGTAAAGGACAAGGACTCTTACATTAGTTAGCGTCTACCTCGATCCTTGTATCTTTCATAAGGCTCTATATTAATAAAGATTTGAGTCTGCTCAGATTTCAATTGTCATATGTTGAAACCTCATATCACAAGTCCACGTTCTGAACTCAAAATTCATGCTTGATAAATGATGGAAGATCTATATTTATATAATTAAAATCCACTCTATCTCTAACTAATGTGAGATTCATAACAAATTATATGTGACAACAAATAGTAGAATATTATTACTAAACTTTCTTAGATTTTTTTCAATTCAATTTTTTTAATTATTAATAAAATAATTTTAAATAATTTATTTCTCTTTTAATTTTTCTCATCAATATGTGCCTTTTTTATTTTTTTAATTGATAAACATTGAATAATAAATATTTTTATTACTATTTAATTAAATTAGATTATATTTTTTTGGTTTTTTTATATTTTTTAATTATATGAAGATAATTATAACTTTTAACATGTGTAAAAAATTATTAACTAATGATAATGAAAAATTGAGAAGCCTAAGAATGCATTTTGAAACAAGATTTTAGAGAAGTATTAATGGTAATTTTTGTATTTTACCCAAACAAACAAGATAATTGAATAAAAAAGTTGAAAAAACAATCAATTGTATATTTTTTAAATCATGAAAATATATTGCAATTCAATAATTAACAGAAATACTACCTACTGTTATCTATAATAAGAAAATGAATTACTTGATAATAAATCATTATGAATTTTAACATAGTAAAGCGACTTATAAGATTTAATACTACCATTTCATAAGACTTTGATGAACCAAAAGCATCCAAAACAAGGATATAGAGAGATTTATTCGAAAGCGCAGATCAAAAATCAAAATAAGAAACCGTTTTGAATTTTGGCTCGAATGCAACTCCGTTAAGAAGAAATAAATAGCATAAAGAAAATAGCAGAGCAGCTCCCTCAGAACGAAATCAGTTTTCATCATGGACATTCAGACAAGGCTGAAACTTGAAGATGAAGTTCAATCATTGAGAGCGTCAAGGAAAAGAACATTCAATAGTATCTTGCAATCTCTTGGAAGAAAGAGCTTGAGGAGAAAACAGTTTGGAAGAATGGAGTTTCAGATCTGAAACTCGGCAACTCTTTAAGGGTGAAGGCTATTCCAAAAAACCAAACAGAGAAAGAACATTACAAACATCCACGGAATGAAGGCGAGAGTTGCCACACCTTTTATAGTGCTCTACAAACCCTAACTAGCCACCGTCTTACCACAACTCCACGTTATTTCAAGTTACATTGTCACGGCTCCGTCCTAGTTTGCTTTAGGGTTTCCGGTATATATAAGTGCAATTTGAAACGGAATAAATTTGTAATTTAAATATAACATTAAATTGGTTTTTTATTAATAATTTTTTTAGACGAAATTAAGAATAAAATGACTAAAATATCTCATATTTTATTAAATTAATATTAATAATAAAAAATAATTATAAATTTTTCTGAAAATATAATTAACAATATTGACTAGAAAAATAATGAAAACAAATGCAATATAGTTAAGTGTCAAAATTTTTTAAAAAGCATAATTCTTAAATAAATCCTTAAGTATATAAAAAAAATTAACTTTAAATTTAAAATCTATATATTTTTATTACATTTAAATAAATTTTTATATTTTTATTTTTAATCAAATAAGATTTTAATTATTCATTTTTTTTTCTCGTTTTTCTTTATTTATAACCCTTTCTCACCTAAATATTTAAAAAATAAAAGAGACATCAATTTTCATGTTCTTTTCTAATCGATAACGAAAGAGTTTGATCCGACTAATAGTCATCACAACATTAATTGGATCAAATCCAACCCTTCCCCGTTACCAGCCAGTCCCTAATTGACAAGAGGCAAGGAGAAGAGAGGAGAAAAAAAAAATAGCAGGAACATAAAATAAAGAACAAAAGAGAGCAAAAATTTTTAGGACGCTTTTCTTATTTTCCAAAATATTGTAATTTGAAAAAAAAAATTATTTTTTATTTATACTTTTTAAATATAATATTAATTATTAAATTTAAAAATAAAATAAAAAAATTTAAATAAATGGATAGAATACACACTGATGTACGCATGTTTATCGTGTCTCAAAACATGTGTAGTCAATCGACACTTGGCACCAAACTTAACTAAAATGCTAACAAAAAAGAGTTAATTTAAATTTTAAAAATCAATAAATTACTTCATAAAATATAAAACCAAAATGATACGCACAGATCACAAACATAATTTACACTTAAGCTCTGTAAGTTATTTCACTTTTAAGTCAAAGCATTGGTGCCAATTTAAGTTGGGCCAAGTTAGAATTAATTTGGTTTCGAGGCTTTCTGAATTTCAATTTATTGAGCTCCCAAAATATAAAATAGAGTTTTGTCGAGAGTAAAACGAGCCCCTAGAGTCAGGTCCCTCCCGCATTTGAGAGTTTGACATGTCCAAGAGCCATCATCTAATGGTGACGGCGAGAAAGCCATGCTGCAAACAGTCATTACCTTTCCATACAAACAGAAATCTCCACCAGAAAAGCAATGAGTTGATCAGAAATTTCTACGCAGATGATAACACAATTAAAGAATGTCAAGCCGATGTCATTTACAAAATTGAGGGTCAAGCATGAGTAGATGCTTGTCAACTAATAAGAGGAATGGATCAAAAAACAGCTCCATCCCAGTTCCTCCACATCCTTCTTTGGCCAACTACAACTATCCATCCTTCCACATTCCATCAAAATGTAAGCAGGCACTTAAATCAACTTAAAATTCCTACTCTCCTGTGTTTACTTTCAAAGTGACAACTATGTAGAGCGCCTGATTTCAATTAAATGAAAGTCTGATCTCTGATATCAAACTCGAATCAAATTAATCTTCTTTCCACTTGTTCACATACCTGAGGAAAGCATTAGCAGGATTTTCCCTTGGGGGTGCACGTACACGAGTCGATCTTCGAAGCACAGCCTCTTCCAAGGCAATCTTGTGAGCCAAATCCTTTGATCTCTTTTGGAGTTCCAAGCTGCATTAGACAAAAGAAAAAAATCTAGTTTTACAACATAAATGAAGTGAAGCAGTGTAAGGAATGTCAGTATTTGTAGTTAATGTTAAACTTGTACCCAAAAATATATAGGAGAAACTGTTAAAAGTATTATAGGTCTGAGCACACAAAGGAGTTATATCTTTCTTCATTGGAATTTTACTTATTGCCAATTGCAGCATCACACTGCCGCCATGTCAATGGTGCACAATTCTAGAAGGCTTGCAAGGATCGAGCACAAGTCAACAATCCCTTAATGAATGTGACAGCTGAAATCAAATGATAGCATCATACCACTTACAAAATAGCTGCTCTAGAGTATCAGTCTCTTAATTATCGCCATTTGATAGCAAACAGTTCAATGAACTGCTGAAAGTTTACAATTTATGCATCATCTATTCATTTAATTCTAAAAGAAACCAACTTAGTATCATAAAAAACATGCATGTTGTTATGATCCTAATATTTATAGGATCTGCATATAAGATAAGCTTAGATGAAGGACTGAGTCAGGGGATATAGTGCCATGAGCGCATGTCCATGTTTAATGAAGATAACAATAGCATAGACATAACAATATAATAGAATGACAGAAACAAAGTTATACTTGTGCCCAAAGGTTAAAAACCAAAGTTCACAATCAAAAAACAAACAGTTAAAATAGTGATAATAACAAAGTTTCAGGCCTCATCATTAATATATAAAGAAATGGGCCAGTAGTTTTGAGGGGAAGAAATGATAATAAAACCAAAGAGCAATAGCAACATAAAATAGTTTCTAAAACAGGGTAAATGTATTAAAGGAGTTCAAGTCCATTTGCTCTACAAGGACAACTAGATGACTCTCTCACCATATCTTGCCGTAGAATTTTTCCAGCTGAATCTGAAGAGCTCTCTCTCTCTCACCCTTACGGTTCAGCGAGCGTATCAGTGCATCAACCTGTCCATTAAATATTGGTTAAAACTTAGGGAAGCATTCAAAAAGAATAGCATGTATAGAACTCATTCAAATATGATACCTCTTCCTTGGTACTATAATAGCCCCACTGCTTGGTATCAGAAATCTCAATAAATATCCTCCCATCTCGCCTAAACCACCAATACCTGTTATAGTCCCTGTCTTTACCTAAGGGACTAGTTCGAATGCTTCGTTTCTCCATCTCACGTTCAAAATATTCCCTCTGTTATATAAATAATATTAACGAAAGAAAAACAAAGCAAAACATAAAAAATCACATCAAATAAGGAGTAAGGAGATAGACTGAACCCTCTGTTGCCTCTTTTCTTTACTCTTCCTCTCCTCTGCTTCCTTTTTATCACCACTTAGCTGTTTCTGTGCTTCCTTCTCACATGAATTTGTTACATTTTCTGCTAGGACTTTTGGATCCACATTTTGCTTTTCCTCTGTTTTCATTGATGGACAGTCTAATTGCCTCCTGCCACAGTTAAAAAAGAAAAAAACTTTTTCTTCAAACTAAACGTAACTTAGTGATGCACCTGACCATTGGGCTCAATGGTACGTGCATGAACCCCCTGCTCAAGAACGAGCCTTGAGTCCCCCCTTTACCCCAAAACTGTTCTTGATGAAAAGGATTAACTTCTTAGTAATAAATCCATGTATATTGAAATGAGCAATCCACACCTATCATAAAATGTATTGCTTTGCTGAGAGGAAATAACCTCTTCCACCATATCTCCTGTCTCTATGATGGGATTTCCATTTTCTGCAATGTGCGGATTGCTTCCTGTGCTCTCCAGACTATTTTCCTTCACTAATCCATCAGCACCAGATTCACCTTTCAACTGTTCTTTTTCTTCTCTTCTCTTTCTAGCATATTCCAAAGCTTCCCCTCGTCGTATGGCTCCAAGCATCTGTCGCTGTTCAATATGCTCATCCAACTTCCCCCTAATAAGATCTGTTTCAAGGGCATGACTAACCAATTCACGCAAGACCCATAATTTAGCATTAGCATCCAGAAGGCCATAATGCCCCCGCTTTATAGTGGTCATAGAAGAGCTTAATTCAGTAATGTTGATCATTTCCAAGAAATCACAGACATAATCTGTCCACGTGATGAGTGAAATCTGAAATAAAAGTAGTCAGAAGACAAACATCCAGCATCATCATAACGAGGCATGAGCAAGGGAAGTTCCACATGGGAGGAAAATAAAGAAATTTTCAAGCTGCAAAGGAAAAACAAGTTCATGTGGGCGCAGGTATTAAATGCAAAATAAATTTCAGCAGTGAAATTCTGACCTTAGGCTTTCGCTTTCTCTTCTGTAAAGCGAATGAATATTCACTGTCATCTTTTATAAGCAACCGAAGAAGAGCTGAATGTGTTTCAGCGATGAGAACCAAATTACTATCCTTGTGACAAATAGCATTTTCAAAATCTTCAAGAGAGAATGGCCATAAATGCAGTAGCCTACTAAATGAAGAACAAAAATCCCAAACCATCAAAAGATCACCAACGCAATCCATCGGAACATTGAAATCCCTTGACGGAAAAGGGCGATCAGTAAAAAGTGGATCATCTGGACCAGGCTGCACCAGAAGGTCATCAATGGGATATTTGACAGGTTCTTCCTTAGGCTGATTATTTTCTGTAAATTGAAGTTAGAATCAAGAATCAGAACAACTGAAAAACAGCACAGTGGGACTCAAATGCCTGACGAAAGCAGGTATAATTCTTGCCAAACCCCCAAACCCGAAACCTCCACCTCCAAACCCCTCCCCCTAAGAGAGAGAGAGAGAACCCACAAGAAGAAGAAGTAAAAGCAAGAGGAAAAAAACACAAACAGAATAATTGAAAATCCTAGAGCAATTATCTCCATAACTTAATACAAGATACTTTGAAAAGAGCAATCATGTTTAACTTGCACTAAAAATAGCTTTAAATTGTAAAACTTTGACCTACCTTCCTTACCGTTCTTCACTGCATCAGACGTCCCAGTTTCTACTTTCTTCCTTTTGGATTTCCCAGATTCGTCATTTACTTCCTGGATATCAAAAAGTATGAGCTAAACATATTATCATAAAATGACATTCGTAAACTGATTACCATAAACCTGTAAAATTACCCCAACATTTTTTCCATCTCCATTTTTCCTTTTCTTCATTTTGGCAACAAGCTGTCCATCTTTAAAGAAAAATCTGCTACGCAACTCCTGTGGAGGGTCAGTTGAGATACCATGTTTCTGTGCTAGTTTCTCATGAATCACCCAAGGAATACTTCGGCATGTGGACTCCCGAATAAAAGACTTCAAAATATTTCTGCTAAAGGGTGTTTTCTTCCATACCAGATCTTCTCCAAGTACTATTGAATTTTCTGTTATTTTCCTAGTTTTGTTAATCCATGCCACCTCATATTGTATTTTTTCGACACCATTCTCCACAAGTTTTAACACTTTGCATGGATACAGACTACCATCCTTCCGTCCATACAAATTAGCACCCACAAACAAATCCTTCTGCAACTTTTTAGCTATTGCATCAGCAAGATCTCTCAATGACAGCATACCTGCCAAAAGCCACAGGTTATTAAATAGTGTTGCACAAGCATAGCGAACTCAAGGTTAAGGGAAAACTGGAAATGAGGACTAAAAAATAAAGAGGGATGGACAACACCAAAAAGTAAAAATACAAACAGAAGCACAATTTCAGAAAGCTAAAAGAAAGTTTTGTAACAGCTACGCATAAAGCTCTTTCTTTCCTTTTTCCCCTTTTATGACAGCCAAATATTTTCCTGCTCTCCCCAACATAAAATTAAGACCCCCTACACATTCATGACATGTCCACAATCATCTCATAAGCTCTGGATTACTTTTAGTACCATTCATTCACAAGCCTCTAACACTCAGTTTATTTCAGTACTGATAATGTTATGGGCACATACAAAATATCCAGCAATAAAGGATGCAAATCATGTGTATATACCCTAAATCATGTATAGAGAATATATCTATAGATCCTGTGTAAGAGAATTGTCTAATCCAAAAATCATTAAAAATTCAATAAAGACAGGATAATAAAAAATGAATCAAGGAAAATCCATTCCCATAGTTTTATTGCTGCATTTTGCCATTGATGAGAAGCTTGTAAAAGGCAAAAGATATTTGGTTGTACTACATGCCATCGATCTAGTTCTTATCACTCATAATAGTCCAGTGCTTATTTGAAACTTCCACAAATTAATAGAATATGACCAACCAAAGATGTCTCACAGATTATCAGCTTTATATATCTACTGTTTTAAAATTATGGTGCAGTATTTTAAATTCAGTGCAGTACATCAGATCCTCCTCACCTGAAATGTAATAGCAGCCCCAACAAGTTATCTCATACCTTTTATGAATGATACAACATTTGCTTCATAACAACCATTATCAAATCCTGTGTCTTTCTATTCCACCCTTTTCTATCTTCTGGGACATAAGATGATAGACACAACCCAAGCTAAAATTCCATTTGAAAAAAGTCAATAAAAAGAAGACATGGAGGCATCAGAACCATTAGCCCCTTTCAAAAGCAAATTAAGCATCCACTGAAGATGAAATTACAACACGGTGCCATACAACCCATTTAATTGAAATCCAGTGCTCTGATATCATAACCAGAAGACTATAAGCAATTTTAGCAATTATGGCAGTTGAGTAATTTTACACAGTTGAGTTTTTCTAGGTGATTGGTTATAAGTCTAGTAAACACTGTATTTATTTATTACTTAGGAATTTTAGTTAGGGATTTTTCCTTATTATAGTTAGCCTTTGAATTAACCTCACTCTAACCAAGTCTTGATGAAAACAATCAGAGGAGAATGTTGATGCTCAATTTGAATATTTCTACAGAAACCTCCCAAAAATAAACTCATTCAGAGGGGTAGGGGTTAAGAAATTGATGAGTTAAATTGGTTCTGGATCTACACTACCTTAGAGGAATCATTCAGTGCACAGAGAAGGAATGCAAAGGAGGAATCATTCGGTTTACTGATTTAAAAGGCCTACCGTGTACCCATCTCTTATGAGTGCTTGGATGGGGCTTTTTCAAAGAGATTCCATTTCAAATGTGAGTTTTAATTTCATTCTTTACATACACCATACACCATTTGCCAAGTTAAATCGTGAACTTAATAAATAGCCTGCATTTGCACAGTTTATCATGAAGGGCTTCAAATTCAAACTTTAAATACAGCCTATACAGACAAATTTCATAATACACTTTGCTTTCTTTCCACATCACAACTGTTCGCCTTCTCTTGATCTATGGCTCTCCTCTCAACCACCGTCTCTCCCATCACCATGTCCACCCTCACAAACACACATACTCTCTCTCTCTCTCTCTCTCTCTCTCAGACTTTATTTTATATTTTTCTAGATTGATTGTAATTTTTTTGAAATATTTAGGCTACTTTTTGTTTATTTTATATTAATTAGTACTTCACTTAATTTCCAAGTATTAGCTTATAGTTATATTAGGTATTTTGCATTTTATTAGGGTTTAGGGATTAGCTTATAAATATCCAAATTATTTTAGTTTCGATTAGGTTTAGGGTGATGAATATTGAAGGTTTTGAGATATTCAATATTAAGATTTTCTCCCTCTATTGATTCTTTTATAGTTTTCTCCCCAAGTTCTTCTATTTGTCCCCCAATTTCCCCTGCTTCTCCCTAATTGCTTCTCTCTATTTCTGATTTTCCCTCTAAGTTTTTATTATCATATATTTTCCCCAACTTGTTCTTCATCACTGCCTTTCTTCTCATGGTTTTATGATTTTTTGTCTTTAGAATCAATTTTGATGCTTGCAATCATGAAGTGTCATCAATTTGTGTCTTCATGATGCCAACAAAAACGATTTTGTTTTCCATTTGTTGATAATGGTATCAGGTTTTCAAGTTTTTACTTTGGGTTCTCTTTTATGGTTTCAGAACTGATGCATTTTAAAATGCAAGCACTTCATAATCCCTCATAATTTTCAAACCCCAGAGATTAAGGACTTACTCTCTTCTTTTTCTTCTTATTCTTCTTTCTCTCATTTTCTTTCCATTTAATAACTTTTATCCAACTTGATTTACCTTGAAAATCCTAATTTAAAATCCCAAACTTTGGTTTCAACCCTTAAGCCCAAAATGCCAACAAATAGGAAAAAAGACCCTTGTTAACTTTCAAAGTTTTGGTATGTAAGCAAGAACATTGTAATTCTATTTTACAGTATTTAGCTATTTGCAAACGGACAACAAAACAAAAGCTCCTATGCTAAGCCACAGTATGTGTGAAACTCACAATAGTTTGCAGTTTAAGGTGCTGGTATCGCTGAAAGGAAAGAAACATTTTCTACCATCTAGCTAAACTGGAACTTTGAACAAAAACATCATGCTTTAATTTAGTTTTTATGCAAAGTAGAATGAATAAAGTTAATATCACGAAGCCAGCCACAACTTTGAAATATTTTTCTAAGACAGTTCTAAAGAAAAATATAGAACACCACTAAAGCATTTAATCCTACCATCTCTTTAACACGAATTCAGGTTCACAAAACCTTTGAACAAAATCCCAAGCTCTCCAACTAAGCTCAAAAAAGTGCCACTCCCTCCACCCCACCCCCCTGCCCCTCCCCTGCCCACAAAAAAAAACCACTGAAGACCCTTCTCTCAACTGTTAATAACCAGACAATCATGAAACTTTCTATTACCATCCCACACACTCAAAAAAACAAAAAGGCATTTTCCAATTTTACTTCTCATCAGAACTTCATTTTTGAACTGCACTGCCATAGCCATTGTTCTCTTTATAAAAGCTTCTAACATCTTAATCGAATCCTTAAACTCCTATTGGTTGTTAGAACTCAAATGTAATTTGTTAAATTATTTTGCAAATCATATACAAATGAACAAGCATAGACATTAAGAATCTAAGAGACAAAAAACATACAGATAATGACTTGGATAACAAAACTGAATTAGTGTTTAAATGTTTACAAGACAAAGAAACAAGGGCATACAGAAAAATAAAAGAACAACAAACCAAAAAAAAAGGAAATACATGAATCGGTACCAAATGCATTTTTAAAACATGCAGCCACATTTCTCTGTATCAATGTTTGAAACAATAATTAGAAAAGAAAGGACAACAAAAAATGCTACCAACATCACTCCCCAAACATTGTAGTCGTTAATTCAAGTAATTAGAACCACTATTTTGCAATGATAATCGTATAAAAGAAAACCCATAAAAGAGTAAAAACTAATAGCACTCTAATATCATTTATCAACTAGCAAGGCTTTATGAAGAGAGTTTAAAATATAAGAAAGCAACAAAATTTTACCCAACATTGAACTCATATACCTTTTATTATTTAGACAAAACTCACAAGAAACAACAAATGTCCACAGATATATCAAAATTTCAAGAAATATATGCAACAATTCATCGGATCACCAATTACTAATAGCTCAAATTTAAGAGTCACACACCATTTCAAAGCCTGCATTTTGAAATGTCAAGGTTTAAAACAACTAGGATATTAAAATGAGAAACATTCTAAAAACTATATCTGGTAAAATCTAAAAATTTCCGGGCCGGATTGATATTACAATGAAATCCATTAGTAAAAACTTATCTATACAGCATATCCAAACAAATCCACAGAAGATGCATTCTGGTATGGATACAACTACTTGTCCCTAAAAGATTGCCAAGTTGATTGCTGGGATCACTAGATGTCAAACCCATTTCACCTATGTGCTAAGGGGCCCAGGACTTCAATCAACTATGTGCTACCAATACAATCCAATTAAGTTGTAAAACACGTTAAAAAAATCTGAATGGTTCAGGACTTAGATGTAACTCCAGAATCATCTATGTATACCTCCAATTCCATGAATCTATTATTTAATTCACTAGAGGAGTATATTAAATATCATTTTACTGTATAATATCCGCTGCCATCAGTGACCTCATGTCCAAACTAAAAAATGAAAAACGAAAAGAAAAAATAAAAAGAACTACTAAAGCTTCAGTGAGGAAAGTGGTTGATTAGTTCTTACTAAATTGGATAATACACAATGCAGGTGCCACTAGCTCATTGGGTAGCTCTTGAACCTTTTGAGTCGCATGTTTTTCTGACACCAAAGCCTCTTCATAAGTCATGTTAGATTTTCCAGTATATTTGCACATCCAAACTCTCTGACGATAAAAATTTATCCGGTTCAGATACTCTCTGATCCATGTTAAGGAAACAAACATGCAATAACATCCCATTTGGCAGCTGACTAGCTTGGTAAAAAAAAACTTCAGAGGAAAAAAAAAGCAATATGTTTATCTTTAGTAAGTTTCTGGTCATTTAAAAAGAGAAAGCCTCCAGTCTTTATAAAGTACATACAGATAGAGTGGCGAGGCGTTAAGGAATCTAATAGAATTCACAAAGAAAAACTCAAAAGACATGATATATTTTTTTTCTTCTCAGTTGGGTAACACAGGAAGATTCAAACACTTTAAACTATGATTAGTTTTGCAAAAACCAGACACAGGATATTATAAAAACCAAGAAACAATAATAATGATAATTAATTTGAAGTACTTGAACTTAGGATACTGATAATCCTGAAAGATCTCTTTCGTGAATCGAACTTGGTATACAAGAGCATAGGGTTCCAAATCCTTTGGTGGCTCTGCTAAACCAAAAGGCTTCCTCTTGAAGAGAGGCATATTTCAAACTGCCTCCTGCGACAAATGCACCAAGAACTCATTATAGTAGATAAATGAGTGACTGTTGCCAAAGTAAACTGACATTCATGCACAATGCAGAAAAAATAACAGTCAACAAGATTTCTACTTTTCTCCATGGTAAAGTACTTACCCTTAGATACAAAACAAATTTAGAATATGGTAAGTCCTAACCCTTTACCAAACACCCACAAATAATTTCAAACTAAAATGTATCTTATTGTTTCGAAATAATTAAATGAAAAGGCTTCAGCAATGTTGCTCTCAAAATTTTCTTTAAAAAATAACAATAATAAAAAGAAGAAAATGTTGTGAATCAGAATCTTCTATAATAACTAACAAAAGAAGAAATAAACATTGTTAATGATTTTGAATTACAAGCAATGCGGTATGATGATGGAAATATATCCCTGTAACTGCTAAGCCTTCAACTAAGTACCAAAATATTGCTCCATTTTTAATTGAAAACCAAAAACTTGGTTCAATTTCAGCTTTCTTTCATTCCTTTCTCTCAGAATCCAAACAGAACCATAAGAGAAAGCAAAAATACCCAACAACTTAAAAGTCAGAAACCCTAAGACTTACACCTCACAGATTTAAAAAAATTAAAAGTATTCAATGGGCAAAAACACGAAGAAAGATATTACTTACCAAACAATGTAATCCGATGAGAAAATACGCATTAAAAATCGATGAATCCCCAATCAAATCCAAAAGAAAAAATCGAAGAAAAAACAACCAAATCGCCCAGAATAGAACAAAAACTCAGATTCCCGCCACAACAAAAAATAAATAAATAGTAAAAAAATATTGCGTGCAAAAATCAGTCGAAAATAACAAAGATAACGTTAAAGATTGAGGACTCTTACAGGGAATGTAGTAAGCAATGCGGTCACCCGCTTTGAGTTTCTTGCGGGGTTTTTTTCTTTTTTTTTTTTTGGTTTATTTTTAATTCTTCGAAAGAGAAAAGTAAGTTCTCACGTTTTCCCTTGCTACTGCCTCTCCCCGTCAGAGCCGTCCCTCGTCGTGGGAAATATATATATATATATATATATATATATATATGTATATATAGTGTTACTAATACGCCCCGGTACGCGGGGATCCATTTTCTTTTTTTTTTGTTATTTCACTGTTTATGTATCCCAGTTATGATACGACGAATTTGTTTCCTTGAAGTTATCACATAATTTTAACGATTCATTAATTTTATAATTATAAATCTTCAACTCGAATTAGATTTTATTTATTTAAAATATCTTAAATAATTTTTATTTATTTATTATGAGTTAGAATTTTATAATTACATTTAAACCCTATCAAAATTCTACAACAACTCTTTCATGAAATCAAATTTATAAAATCAAAATTTTATCTTTTTATATAATTAATTAAGTATTCATTTTAAAATCTATCATTTATCAAATTTTTTATTTTCGATTCAACCTGCTGTTTTGTTAACTTCCTTTTCACCCTTAGATGAAAATTCCTTCCAATGTACTCACCCACAAACTTTTTTATGTCAGAATTGGCTGTATAAATGGAGTTTAGAGGATCGGTTCATGGACAGCCTATGACAACCACACATAATAAGAATTCTCATTGTATTTCATTTGACATGTGATTATATGATTATATAATAATAGAAATTCCTCATGACATTTAAATTCTACATAATATTTAAAATGATAAAATAAATTTTAAGATGTACATGGCATATTTTAGAATTAGATCAATCCTAATATCATCATAGTTCTATTAGGCATTTTACCTCAACATGATAGTTAGCGTTTGGACTAAATAGTGTTATGCTGTTAAGCCACTGTTTAAGAATTTTATCAAGATGTGCCCACTTGGATCTAGGCCCAAAAGCCTTAGACTAGCACCGGCATAGATCAGGCTTCTTGGAATTCTTTTAAAACAAATGTTTGCTTAATTCTCTTTAAAGTACATGTATGGATTGGATCTAGAAATTGGCTTTTTCCTCAAGCTATGTTGGTTTCAAGTGACAGAAGGCAGTGAATATTATTTTTAAAAGAAATTTCGAGGTTTTAAGTTTTCTATTTTTTCGAAGTGCAAAGATTTGTATTGATCATAAAACAATACAGCCAAACACATAGAGGCAACCCACACTATAGGTGCCAACCCCTGTCCAGAAGTGCAGGGAACGTAAAAACCTGCAGCATCCCACCCCTTTTCCCACAAAGACCACTGAGCACCCAAAAACAAAACAACCCTGCATCCCAATCAAAAAGACACAGGGAAACAAACTATTTATTCAACAAAGACCCAGCAATAACAAAAGATTTTGTTGCTGGCAGACACAAAAACACCAACAATCCAACACCCCCCACCCCCCCCCCCCCCCCCTATCATGCTTAATCGCAGACAACCTCTTTCTTACTAATGCTCCTCAGTCTCTGCATCAGTACCCTTTATCTAAATTAGATCCTCTCCCCTTTGCACCCCGGCTTTCGCTAGATTATCAGCTGCTTCATTCCTGGATCTCAGAATCTGTTGCAAACTCCATCCATTCACCTCTTTTCAATGCTTCAATCTGCATTACAATACCTTTGAACTTCCATGGAGCTTCTTCAGGTTGCAAACTGTAGATAGTCAATTTTGATTAATACTTATTCTCTAAAAAATCATTTTATTACGTAACTTATATAAAGAATAATGAGAATAATTATTATAAGTGAAGCATTACTTAACGCAGAACAACTAGAATAGGTGGAGCATTACTTCATGGGGAATAATTAATACAAGTAGAACAACTATTTTGTACAAAATAATAATTTCACACAGATGATAGTGAAAGCAATCTGGAATAGGTGATAGGGTTCATGGGTTACTTTCATATTAGGATGTTTCGGAGAATTTGGCTTGGTGGCTCAGATATAGAAGTAGTTAAGAGGTCTCTCTTAACCTTTTCCTGAAGTACAAATATTTTTTATTTTTTTCTTATTTTCTTATACTTGTCCACGTACAGCCTTTTCTCTTGTACCTGTTCATGTACAGCTTCCTTTCTTGTACCTATTCACGAACAGCTTTTCTTTATTAACTCCTACTCGAGAACAAGTTTTATTAACTATAATTATTTCAATGGTCATATAATAAGTTTTTAGCCGTTACTCAATATTAACTCTCAATAACGGTTACTTAACATTAAAACTCTCCTTAATAATATCATTCATTACGCATATTAAAACCTTTTCTTATAACTGTTATTTTTGACACTATATATAGAGTCTTCACAACTCAAAAAGAGACTTTTCGAAACTACCGGACTCTGATTCATAGCTTTTCTCCTTAGTCTATTTTCACTCAGAATACTTTTTTTTTTTTATTCTCTTCCACCTATCACAATATTTAGTGCTTTAAGAATTGCTCCAATCTTCCTCTCCTTCACCTCCGATACATCCCTTACTTGTTTGCAACGCTTTCTCGTCTCATCACAAGAACCCCGTTTACACAAACTTCATTTAATAGCATTACGAGAATCAGTTTCAATAATCAAATCATACCTTTGCACCCAACTCGATGCAGAAAAATGCTAAAACGCATATCTGACAGCAAGGAGTTTAGCAATATTTGATGTCGTAACACCCATTAATTTAGAAAAAAAAACATCAAACTGTTACACTCATTATCTCTAAGAATTCTCTCCTTGATAGTTACCTAAGTCAGTCAAATTATTAGCTCATTGGGATCCATCACCACGTCAGTTAAAAATTATTGAGGTGGATTTTTTATCACAAAATTACCTCATCTCTTTCCTTGGCCTTGTTTTTTTTTTTTTTATCTTTCCTATTCTTTTCCTCCAATGCATAACACTTCTAAAAGCCCATTTGTTCAACGTCTTGACTTTTGAGTTTAAATGAAAGGAAAGTGAAAATTGAGGTGATAAAAGTAAACGAAGAGGGAGAGAGTTCGTAAAGGTTGAGGCAAATGGACAATGTGAATTGTTTATAGTGGTTTAATTTTTTTTTATCTACATTTACTATCTAGACAATTTTTATAAAGAATTTTGAATTATAATTTACTAAACTAGTATAGTTAATAATCCCCATCAGAGAGTGAGCTATCCCAAACTCAAAACCTCAAATTACAAATTCAAATAGTGTTTCCCACTCCAACCTCTCGAGTTTACTACTCATAAAAATGTGTAATTGACCACTTCACAAATCTAGATACACCAATATAGGTCAAATTCACAAAAACAGACAAGAATAAAGCATTGTAATTTTAAAAGGAATGATGAATTTAGGGTGGGGGCAACGGAGGCAACTACCCCCACTCAAGTCTTAAAACAATTTGATAGTATAATAATAATATAATTTTTGAACAAATTTAAATGAATCTTTATTCTTTTATTATGTTTAATCAAGCTTTTAATATTTTATTTTGGATCATATGACTAATAGTTAACTAATTGTTGATGTTAGATACTTTATTGTGTAATGTGATTATAAAAATGTGATTGCAGAGAAAATAATTAAATAGTATTTGATACATAAGTAAAATAATGATTAAAATACAAGAAAGTTAATATTACAAAGTTTGATTTTTAAGTACTTTACTGATAATGTAATGTTAATTTTTAAAATGACCTTTATTTATTAAAATACAAGTTTAATATTCTTGTATTTTTAATTATTAATTTTTATATAAGATCATTTCTTAAATTATTTGTAATATCGTATATTTTATTTTCATTTCTTATTATAATCTTATATATTTTATTTTCATTTTTTTCGTATAATTTTTAATATTACATATTTTATTTTAATTTCTTTTACCTATATTATATAGATTTTAATTTCTTATATTTTAAATTCAAGTGTCTTAGTTAGATTAGCTACTTGAGCGGATAATGTTGAAAAAGCATCTACACTGTGAACTTTAACTACTCTCATATGCATTGATCGCTCAACTAGCTATTGGTAGTTGTTTGCAGCCATCTCTTCCAACAAATTGTATGTCTTATCAATCGATTTAGCCATCAAAGCTTTTTCTGCAACGGCATCAATGGTGATTCGAACATGCCTACTTAAATCATTGTCAAAAGTTTGTACCTGTAGCCACTTTGGAAAACCATGATGAGGACAATACCTAACTAATTTTTTATATCTTGTCCAAGCTTCGTACAATAATTATGAATCTTGCTACCTGTAATATCATTCCTCGTTTTTGTTGTCTTAGTTAGAGAAAAGAACTTAGTGAGGAATTTCTGAGCAAGATCATCCCGTGTTGTTATTGAACTAGTAGGGAGCGCATTCAACCATTCTTTATCTTTATCCCTTAATAAGAAAGGAAAAAACCTTAAACGAATTGCATCATCTGTTATACCATTATGTTTAAAAGTCTTACAAATCTCCAAGAAGTTTATTATATGGCCATTTGAGATCATCATTTGGAAGGACCCCAAATTGAATTAAGGTTTGAATCATGGTGATGATAGCTGGCTTAATCTCAAAGTTATTTGCTTGAATAATTGGCCTTTGAATGCTTGATGGAATTCCTTATACCAAAGGAACAGCATAATCCCTTAAGTAACGATTGTCAGCTACTTTTTAGATTTACTGTTCATCATGTTGATAAGCTATTGTATTTATTGGAGTAACAACTTGTTGATTTTCTCGTCGAAGTTTATGAATTATTCTCTCAATTTCTAAATCACAGAAGATAATCTCCAAATTGTTTGCTTTTCTCATACAATGACTAAAAACACTTACAAAATAAAAAAATAAAATTTAATTTAAGATTAATCGATGGAATTTTAATATTAGCAAATAATAAAGAAAACACAATCCCTGGCAACGATGCTAAAAACTTGTTATCGAATTTTGCATATGCAAATATATATATATCAAACAAGTAACATAGTGATGAAGTACAGTATCGTTTCCAAAGCGATTTGTTCCTAAATCTTTACTAAGTACTAAAATTTATGACAAATTAATTTTATTTATGTAATCAAAATTTTAAAAAAATTAATTACAATAAAATTAAAATAAGCACTAAGTTAACTAACAAAAATTAAAATTAATGGAAAGGGCAATAGACTAAAACTTAGGATTTTAGATTTATTCAACACTTCATCTGATATCAGCTTCTCTTATTATTTATATTCATGGGTGATTTTATTAACTTAGAATCGAAAGCTATTTATATGTTTCCGTCGAGATGCTTGTACAAATACCTAACTTAATTGGGTCATTATATGTCTATAGGAATCAATTAAATAAGGTTCATTAAATTAGTGTTCTAATTTGTCTACTTATGACAATTGGCGTATGTTTACTCGAATCGCGAATCATATCACCTAAGTGATATGAACATATACTATTTAAACCTTAGTGCAATCTAAAATCTCTCTATTGAGTCTCAATTAGATTCGCTAATCAATTAATTATTGGCCAAGCAATCAAAAACATTAAAAACAGATTTAAACAAGTAAAATTATACCCATTCATGGTAAATAAAAGAGAAACACATATTTAGATTACATGTTGAAATTTACTACAATCTTAAAAAGATAATTTAGATCATAATAACTAATAAAAACAATATCTAAAGAAATTTAGCCATGGATCCAAATGAAAGAAAATAAAAAAGATATAAAAATAAAGAAAGAAACTAATTATTGAAGCTTTATGATTTCAATTTTCTCTCAAATTCTCTTGTTTTTTTACTTTATTTTTAGCACATTTTCTCCAAAGTAGTTGTTTACTGCCTGCCTCTTAAAGCCTCTGAAAAGATCCCTTAAATAGGCTCCAAGTAACCTAGTTTCTAAAAGCCAATGAATTTTTTATTTTTGAAAAATTGCCTAGCACTGCGACCATGATTTTTTGGCGCTGTGGAGCTCTAACCTTGGAAAAATGTATGGTGTGCTTCCCTTCACTAAAGCTATAGCCTTGTTCTTTTTAGTGCTATGGCCTTGGCTTCCTCGACACTGCAACCTTGAGTAACTCAAGGTTGCGGTCTTCCTCCACCTGTTGTCTTGTGCAAAACTGCAGCAGTCAAACATATTCCAACTCAATTTTCACCTTGATATGATTTGAACTAGACTAAATAATAAACATAATAGTTTTAGCTCTATCTATTAGCTTTCTAATGGATCAAGAATCCTATCGATTGGACTTATGGAGTGAAGGATATACTCTAAATACTGTATCATATTCAATCCATACATATTACTATAATACTCCAACTCAGATAAATATTCAACTATGGTTCGATCAAAACTAGGTAAAGTGGTAAACATAAAAGTTGAATTCCTTCCTCTTACCATTCTAGTGGTCTAAGAATCATTTCATTTGGAGTTCTGTAGAGAGAGATATGATCAAAATACTATAAGATATATAAATGAAGCTATCATCATACTTTCAACAATTTTTATCAAATGAACATTTTTATCAAATTTCCTATAAAAGCAATAAAAAAATCGACTATAACTATTTTTAAAATAATTTAAAATAAAATAATATAAAATTAAACTAAAATAACTTAAATTAACTACTCAACATGTTATCAAATTTAAACTAAAAAAATATCTAAAATATTAAAATCTAAACATAAAATCTCAAAGATCTAGCTATTTAAGCCCCTAAAATGTGTGAAAATAACTCTCTATAATATAGTTATTACTTCACTTAGAATGAACCCTTGGCTTGTGTCTTGAAGTTACCTTAACTTTTTAGTGCTTCTCTCCAACTACTTTCTTATTGTCTTATATTCAAATAAACATTTCAAGGTATGTTTACTCTTAATTTATTAGCTAAAAATGCATTGTTTAAAAGCTTGTAAGATGATTTTCTAAGGATGCATGGCTTTTCAAACAATTTTATAATCTTAGGGAACAAAAAAAGTAATTGAAATAATTTCAAATGCTTGACATTAAATTCAAGAAGACATGTGATTTTTTTTCAAATTAAAATACGATATAGTTCAAGTCTAACAAAGTCATTCTTATTCCAATAGCCAAAAGAGGAGTTTATGGTTTATATTTGTATCAGTTATCAATTATTATTTCTCTTTCATGCCTGGCCTGTTACATCAGAATTGGAAAATATTTTTAGAAGTTGAAGTTAAGTTTATAAGATTATGAAACCCAAATGGAATAAGAACCTTTTGCCTTAGCAGTTGAGAAATTTTTTTTTGTTGATATATATTGGGAATAGAGAATTCAAACTTAAAATTTCCTATTCGAAGAAAAGGTATAGCTATAATTATGGAAATGGCTAAAGAGATTTGTGTTCTACTTTATTTTTTGTGGGTACATTTTGTATTCTGCTTAAGAAAAGATTTTGTGTCGATAACTTCTACTTACTACCAACCTTCAAACTGGTCTTATAATTGCTCCTAATATATTTTGCTTCTTATGCTATAAAAAAGTAATTTTCAAAAAAAGACTTAAGTTCCAAAAGAAGCCCTAATATGAATATATGAATATGAATATAATTTGCTATACTAGACTTGAAATACATTATACTTGTACACCTATAATATACTCAAGTTAGAAACTGCTAATTTTCAAAAAAAATGAATGCATGAGGTATGACATTACAATATTTTCTAAAGATTACTTAAGTAGAAGAAGAAGTGATAGATTTGGTGGTGAAATTTAACCCAAATGTGTTGGTGATCGACTACCTTTCCTACGGTTGATGGGAAGAAAAAGAAGAAAGAAGGAAGGAAAAAAGAATAAGAACATAAAATAGAAGAAGAGGGTTAGGGTGATAGGTTAGGGAAATTTTTTTTTTTTACTTTCCTTTCACTAAGGGAAAGTAACTTTCCCTCTATGAGAGAAGGGAATGACATTGCAAGGTGATATTGTAATCACATTGCAACAAGATCATTTTCACATATACAAAACACAAACTAAACATTGTAATGTAAATCTTTGTAATTTAATTGTAGGGAATATCCTTACTTATGTTATACCAAATGCCTCTTAGCTTTGGAAATATTATAGTAAAAGTTATACTTGCACTTAAAATAGCATTTATTTCTTAATGGATTTGAAACTCTTTAACTTACTTCAGAAAAAGATGTAGGTAAAAGCTCGAACCTCTATAAATTTATTTGTGCAAGCTTCTCTCTTTACTCCCAATTTTCATTTGCTGAAAATCAAGTTTTACAAGAGTAATTTCAAGTTGAATATTTCTTAAAAAGGATTTTCAAGTTCTTACACTTACAATTATTAACTTGCAAAAAGTTTAAAAAATTTCAATTCACCCCATCTTGGAATTACATTGTTATTTGAACTAACAAAATTAAAAATTGACTCTTAATTCATTGAGATTTTCATATGATGGAATAATTGTTTTTTATACACGATATAAAAAATTAAAATTGAAAGTATACCACAAGTGATGAAAATGTGATTTTAAGTAATTTTGAATAACTTAACTATTATAGATAAAATATGATTTGATTAAAATAATTTTTTAAAATTAAATTTAATTTGATTTTAAAAAAACTCGAATCAAAAAATAAATTCAAAACAAAATCGTTCAAAATATTAAAAAGGGAATTAACCAAAATCGAAATGATTGGACTGAAGCCCTGCCCAATTTACGTACAAGACAGATTTGTGAAAAATAAGCGGACATGACTGGTGAAATATTGGTAAAGGGGTAAAGAGGACCGGCAGGTGAGGAATTACGTTCCCCTCTCAACGACCTTTCTCTCCTTGCTGTACTTTACATCCGGCAGGCAACGGAAGAGAAAAGTTAGAGAAAATAAAGGAGAGGAAGAAGGTAGTTGTGATGAGAATTGCAGAGGTCTAGGGTTCTGATCAGACTTGACCGACTAGCATATTTAAAGAGAAAACATATAATACATGAAAGTAAATCTCTACATATATATGTATGTATGCATGTAGATATGTATGAATAGATGTACTCCAGCAATCTCAAGGGTTTTATTCTGGCGGTGGTCTCGAGCGCCTTCATTGGCTCCAGCTTTATCATCAAGAAAAAGGGTCTTCGAAAGGCCGGGGTCAATGGCCCCCGTGCCAGTAAGTTCTTGCCTTTTTCTGTTTTCTTATTTTTTTTTGTTATAAATATATATTGAAATCAGACTGATCATGGTTATAATTTGCTACACGCTTCCTGTAAGGTTCTGGCGGATATGGCTACTTGTTGGAGCCACTCTGGTGGGTTGGCATGATTACTAGTGAGTTCCTCTCTATTACTTTCTTCCTTCTTCTGCTGCTTTCTATATGTTTTCTATGGCCAAAGACATTGCAATCGTGAAAAAAAATTTAACTCAATCGGACCAATTCGGTGACATCACTTGTAAAATTCTTAGTTCTAATATGACAGTGATAATTGGGGAGATTGCCAATTTCGTTGCATATATCTATGCACCTGCTGTTTTGGTAACGCCTCTTGGTGCATTGAGTATCATTGTTAGGTAATTTTCTTTTTGTTTGTTGATTTTGAAATTTTGATTGATTCATTTGAATCGACTTTACTCAATTTAATCGGTAGTTTCTGATCACCTCTCACTTCATGTCGATTTGGGCAGTGCCATTTTAGCGCATTTCATTTTAAAGGAGAAACTGCAGAAAATGGGAATGTTAGGATGTCTTTTGTGCATAGTAGGTTCCACAGTGATTGTGCTTCATGCACCTGAGGAGCGTTCTATTAATTCAGTTGAAGAAATTTGGGAATTAGCTACCCAGCCAGGTGAGTTGCTAAAGTTTTCATCAGTTACTAAATGCTTATATCATCTTATTCTTAGCTTCAATAATGTTATTTTTAATCTATTTTTTTTTTCTTTTCCAGCCTTTCTTTTGTATACAGCTTCAGCAGTAGCTATTGCATTGGTACTAATTTTGTATTATGCACCTCGTTGTGGTCAAACTAACATAATGGTGTATATTGGAATATGCTCAGTAATTGGATCATTGACGGTAAGTTAGTTTAGCTTTTCAGCTAACTGCATGTTGAGATCTAATGGTTTTATTGTTTAGGTTTCTAGAGTACTTGCTTCCAATTTGTAACAATTTGAATGCCGTATTTACATTAATGTGCTATTAGTATTGATTATGAATGTTACTTCCTTGCAGGTGATGAGCATAAAAGCCATTGGTATTGCGATAAAGCTAACATTGGAGGGCACAAATCAGGCGAAATACTTCCAAACATGGATCTTTGCAATGGTTGCAATTACCTGTATCATCACTCAGTTAAATTATCTGAACATGGTAAGCATGTAATCATGCTCTTACATCTCATGGTAATTACTGTAAAGCTGAAAGCAACATGCTACTGATGGCATATATACTATATTTCTACAAAGAGAAGACTATTGGAAACAAAAATGTTTATTTTCTGTTACAGAAATCTAGAAAATATGTTTGGAAAATAAAAACTTATTGCTGATGTGAGAGATTCAACTTGTCTTCCGGCATGAATAAACTAATTAGACAATACTGATATATTTCAGTGGAGGCTGATTGTTTTTTAGTAATGATAGTCTTGATCCAAAAAAGGGTTGCAATATCCAGTGCAAGGGAAGAAAAGGAGTATTCCACTTGTCACTTTTCAAAATTCTTTACAATGTTTGCAAATCAACACTATTGGCTCTAGAAATTTTCTATTAATGTAGTTGGTTGCTCTTTGTATGTGACGTAGGACAGCAAGGGGCTAGCTTTAAGGCAATTTTATGATCTGAATTATCGCAAAACAGGAATAAAAAGATTCCTGATCTTCAGACTAGGGTTCCTTAGGAGTAACATCTAAGGTTGATTGTGTCATACAATCATGAAGAAAAGAAAAGATCCTAAGCTTCATACTTAGAATCCTTAGGAGTTACACCTAAGGTTGATTACATCTCATCATCACAAAAGTAGTAATCCTTGAAATTCTTTAATAATTTTTTATATCTCAGTAGAAAAAGTACATTGATTCATATAGACTCCTAGCATTCTTAGTCTAAAAGAACTAGAACTCCTATTTCTACTTGGACTCCAAATATCAAACTAACAAAGTTAACTTAAAACAAAACTCAATAGGATAAGGAAAACCCAAAACTAAGATCCTAAACTCAAATATAAGTGCAAATACCAAACAAAACCTTAAAGCCCTAATAGTTGAAAACAAGGAAAATGCTAATTAATGGAAGATAATGTAAATAAAATAAAAATCCTAAAGCCATATGATATTGCATTTACTTTGAAAGGCGAAAGAAATTTTATTAATAGTATAAAAACTTATGTGGAAACCTGTATGTAAGAAATATAACAGGAACTCACTTGAAAAAGAAAATACTAAATCCCAACTTAGAAAGACCTTATATAACCACAAACCAACTGCCAAGAACCAAAATTTAATGACTAACGGAAACAGGCCATGGTGGATCAAACAACTTACAAAAGCCACTGAACACTTTCAAAAGCAACAAGATCAAGGAACAAAACTTCAAAACAGCAAGGAGATACAAACCAATAAAACATAAGCCAAAAGGACCCCAAATCTTTAGCAAGGGAGAAACAGAGCATCCTTCAAATATCTAAGCATTTAGCCAAAAGTGATACTAATGCTAATCACCTGCAACAACCAAGAAATTGACAAGGAAGCAAGAATGAAAAGCCAAAACAAAGGCCCTTAACAACAGGCAAAACAAGAGGAGATAGATGTCAACCAGGGAAGTGGCAGAGGTGCCAAGCAGCAGAAGCAGAAAAAAAATTCAGCTGCCAATTGCCAAAAGACCATCACAAAAAGGGGAAACACTCCAAGGACCAACATCAAGATAAGCACTATGGGTTAGATAGAATTGGAGAAAGGTGCAAGGCTAACCAGGTCATTAATCATAAAAACAAACAGAGCATCTGATTTAAGACATAAGACCAGAAACTTTCAGGAGCCATCTCTCTAATGCCGACAAGCACCAAAAACCATGAAATATACAAGAAGAATAAAGAAAAATTTACATGAATGTGAGAAAAGAATCCAATTTTTCATGCTCTAAACCAAGAAGTTTCTTGATACACGCATGCAACTTCTCTTTTGAAAGATAGCCCAAGTAATTTGCTAATTTCTAAAGTCTTGATAGCTTCTTTAATGAATCATTCCTAGGGCAAATGTCACCATCATAGATCAAATTATCAACCTCAGTAACAATAGGAGACAAATATTAATTATCTAAATGCAATAATGTATTTTACAATGTTCGAGACACAAATTGATAAAAAGATGCCTGGGTTGCTTCACATTCTGATATGGATACGTTAATGGATTGGAACATATATTTGATCAAGTCATGTACCACATTAGAACTTTTATTTATTGCCCCTATGTGTGCACGGTACCTTAAAATTTATTTTTTCTATTTAGATTGTCAGACATACGGTTTCTTGGGGTGCCATAAAGCAGTATATCTGTAGGATTTATTAACTTTCACATGTTTTGGTTGTAGGGAGGAAGGTAAATTTGTCATTATGCATAGTTTTCGTTTGTTTCTTTGTGATAGCATTAAGCTGTAATGGGGTTCAGCTATTTTCAGGCATATAGATTTTTTCTTTGACAATTTTAGAGTTTGTAATTCTCATCCTTCTTTTTGATTGTTTTTTCTTACTTTTTCTATCCCCACTGGAGGCCCAAATCTGCTTTTTTAATTGCTTAACAGTGTTGGTTGGGATTGAATTTGAAAACATTTGGAGAAAATGGTGAATATCCGGATATTTTTTAATGTCAAGATCTATTTCATGTGAATTATGAATGAAATTCATTCTTGAATTGCAGTTCCAAATCATTGCAAATTTTTATAAAGCTTTGATGTGGTTGCAGGCATTGGATACTTTCAACACGGCAATTGTTTCTCCAATTTATTATGCCTTGTTCACTTCTTTCACAATTTTAGCGAGTGCAATTGTTTAAGGTATTTTCTCTCTCCCATGTAGACATGCATGGACCTGCCAAAGTTTTTACAGGTTTTATGATGTATGAATTATCTACAGCCTTAAAATTAGAATTGATCAATATTGAATGGAATAGGAATCGTTATTCCTTAAAAGTCATGTACATGGGCTGTTAAGAGAGGGGGGGGGGGGGGGGGCGAGAGAGTGTAATTTTTGGAATTTTGGATGCAAAAGATTGATCCAGTATATCCCTGAATTTTTCATGGTTGTGTGGGATCAAAATGCAGAAACTTTCTCTGAGTGTGTTGTATATATAATGGATCTCAATATGCGCTTGAGATGTTGGACACATTCATGTAACTAAATGATTTGTTACTTTGCTGGATGAGGATTTGTCGAGGAATTTAATCTTAACGGACATGATTGTTTTATTTCTGCCCAGAAACTCTGAACTGAGGGCAAACTGTGTACCATAAGCTTTTGGTGTTTCTTTCTTTGCTTTTGTTTTTTAAACTTTATCCTTGAGGCGTGAAATTTATAGAAGGAATAGTCACTAGCACAGATTTATTTATGTATGTATGTTCATGTATGTATATTTGTTTATCAACATATTCTTATGATTATCTCCTAATTATCAAAGAATCTCCCATATTTTGTGGAAGCGAACACGAGTATTTGAGACACGTATACAATGTATCTGACTTGACAACTCTAAATTCTAGATACAGAGATGTGGTTGTGTTCATGTGTTTTTGTAACTTTAGGGTAATAAACATTTCTGTTTAAGTATTATTCATTATTCATATGCTTTCCAAAAGAACCTTATAGACTTACAACCAAGTAAAATTGATTTCTGTTTTTCTTGTATTCCTTTTTTTTGGCTGGGTGGGGATACAAAATGCATGGTTAAATTATATGAATTTTCCTTGTGATTGTTCATACAAGCATCTGTGGACACGAGTCTAGTGTCCTTGAGACCGCGTGGCTCCTCGATGTCTCTACATGTCCTTATTATAGTTTCTTTTCTCCATTTTGTAGGACTATTCTGGTCAAAGTGCTAGCAGCATAGCATCTGAACTTTGTGGTTTTATCACCGTGTTATCTGGGACAGCTGTATTGCATAGTACAAGAGATCCAGATACACCTCTTATCACAGGTATCTCTCGTATACGAACTGATGAGCAGACTTGTTTTAAATTAGAGCAGCTACTTCCTAAATCTGAGTGCATTATATTTCCTAAATGTGTCATGATATGGGACTTAAGGACAGTTTTTGTTGAATCTTGGAAAATATATTACTGAGAAGAGCATAAAAGGGTGGAAAGTGAGTTTAGCTGATTACAGGTCCAAAGAACAATTAAAGGAAATTTATCAAGAAAGAAACAAGTTTTGAATTATTTGGGTAAAAAGAACCAAGGAAACCGTTCATTATAGGACAGCTATTGACGGTAACCATTTCATGAAATACAACTTAGTAAATGCTGATGCTATCAGATCCTAAAGCAGTGAGTGTCTTTTACTGCATATGAGGGAAATGAAACCATTATGAAGTTAGATAAAGAAACCCTTATGAAGGCCCAATGGGCTTGAAAACAAATGGTATTTCTTCTACAGAGTTGAAATATTATAAATAAGACTATGTTTCAAGCAGTGGCATACCTCACATTTGTCTCCCAGACTGTCTACATCTATTTCCAGCTTTCTGTGAGCCTTTACAAATCACCCTTAGTGACCTAATTATGAGAAGAAAATAATTATGAAATACTGGAATTATGCTGAGCTCCACACAATGAAACATGGCTGGTCAAGCCCTTTATGAGTGGGGTTACCCCCCAAAAGATTCCAGGAATAATCTTGGTGTGTTTCCTTTGTTTGTTTTGTATCGGGAGAAAAATTCCCAACAATATTTTATGAACACTTTTGGCTAAGAATGGAAATGTGTTTTTTGTTTTGGCATTTTCAAATGATGCCCTTGTAGAAAAGGACAAGTTTTGAATAACAGTTATGATCATTGATATTTGAAAAACCCTACTAAGTACATTTTAAGCAAAAATGCTGTAAGATTCCCATAAGGCCAAAATAAATAAAAAAAAACTACCTAAAGGTGGAAGCATTAATGTGATATCAGGCCTCAAGTCAGAATTTGAAGCCCTTCTGCCTTTTAGGAATGTCAGATTTAAAATATAAGTAAAATTCAACCTTGTTACAAATATGTGTTGAACCAAAACCTACTAAAGACTTGGAAACCAGTAAAAGATTCCAGCCTCAAGTTGAACCAACATTATGCAGCCCAAAAAATATTTTGAGTTACGCTCCTTATGCCACGTGAGTCTAACCCCAGCCGACTGATGGACCAGCAGGCATATGAGGGGTTCCCAGTGCACATGACACAGCAAGGTGCTCATCAAGGCACTCTGCGCCCCAGCACCCCAGTGGACCTGGCGCACAAGGCCCGTGCATGTGCAGGTCGTGTGCAGGCTTCCTGCGCGCAGGTGGGCCACATGTGCTGCTGGGCCACACATGCTGCACACCCTGTGCATGTAGCGCGCCCTGCACATTTGGGCCTCGCATGCTGCGCAGGCCTCATAGATGGGCCGCATGCCAGGGAAAACCCTAGCACCCAAATTTTAGACTGCATTGCTGGGTGCCGTGCAAGCAAGCCCCAATGCCTAAATTTTAGGTGCCCCACTAGGGCAAGCCGCGCATCAGCGCACCACTTGTGCACTAGCAGGCTGAGCACCCAGCACACCTGCGAGCCGCGCATCAGCGCACCACTTGTGCACTAGCAGGCTGAGCACCCAGCACACCTGCGAGCCGCGCGCACCCTCTGCGTGCCAGCTGCCTGCGCCATACGCACCACTGCCGAACCAGCACACCTCTCCCAGCGCACCACGGGCAGAGCTGATTTTGAGGAGCCGCATGGGCTGCATGGGGACCAAATTTCCTTAGGCTGAAGTTAGGGTTGGTTACTTGCTTACCAAGCTAGGGAAATATTATTTCGTTAGCTATATGTTTACTTTTCTTGCACACCAAGGAAACTTAGGTTAGATGTTTCCTTGTTTTATTTTACTTGAACTCCAAGTAGGCTAGAGGCTATAAATAGCCACCTTCGGTACTCTTTTCTTTTCATCAAGCAATCAAGCAATTTACTTTGTGCTTAGATCTTAGGTACTTTTTGCTCTCTCATTGGAGCAATGATACTTATTTATTCTCCTCAATCTCTTTCTTCATAGATATTTACTTTACATTTCTGCGCCAATATTCAAGAAACCTCATTACGTCTTGCTTAGTCTTACGAACACATGACTATATCGCCACACAAAACTTGGCTAAAGTTCCAAGCCCGTGACACCATGGCCTCCCCCTCAAACGTTCTCTCTCTTTCTCTCTTAAGTTCTTTCTTTATGATAAATGGTGAGACTTTGCTCCTAACTTTGAAGTATATTAGGGTTTCTTGCAGTTAACTGAAAATATTATAGCCTTTCAAACTGATCAAGCTCAGTTATGGTGACATTTATAATATTGGACACAATATAATAATAATGCATAAGACCGGTTCCTACTCTTCTAGTTTGACTGTTGATATTTTGAAATTCTGGTAGGAATAATACAAATCTGACAGTTCAAATAGGGAATCATAGAAACTTAATTTTTAAAAGCCTACATGATGTAGGACTGCTTGAAGGAGTAGTATTTATGATAACTTTCTAATATAAATTGATCTGAATTTTTGAGATAACAAAAGAAGGTAAATAAAGAAAAAAAGGAAAAAGAAAAGATTCCTAAGCTTCACACCTAGGGTTCTTTGATTGCATCAGACAGCTGAGAAGAGAGAAAACCGAAGTATCACATCTAGGGTTCTTAGGAGTTACACCTTGATTACATATTTGAAATCAGCCTTAAATTGGGCTGGTGCTAGGTTAGCATCTTACACAAATTGACTTCTAACCATTACCTCAAGTCATCTTTGCATATATTTTGTCACTGGCCTGCTGCTTTCCTTAAAAATAAAGGCATTGCCACACTTCTTGTCAAGATAATTAGGTGGCATATACTTTTCTTTAAATTTGGCATTTCTCTCATTCCATGTACTGGTTTGTGGCTGTCCCAATCTGGCTATGTTTCTCTTAACACAGTACCATCTTATTTTCACTAATCCAACCTGCTTTATCTTTTGGAGCATCTGACATATAATACCGATCAAAGTACTCCTCAATACTGTTGGGCCAATCAGAAAATACTGTAGGATCAACTTTTCCATATAAATTTAGAACTTCTAGGCTTGATTTCCTTTTCCACATTCTCTACCATGATGAACCATGGTTTAAAAGTGGAAACTTTAGTTCAACTTTAGGATCTCTTTGCTCTGATGACACTTGGATGCAGTGCAGAAGTAGAAACAAGTAAAAAGAGAACCAAATTAGTTAAGGAAAACCAGAACAAGGCTAAACTTAAATGTAAAATTGAAGTTGGAGGAAGAAAACTTGGGTTGTAGAGAACCTTTAACAAATAATATTCCACCTATAATATTGTTGTCTAAAGTGTCTAAAGACTATACAAAAGGGTTCAAATAGTTTTTAATTCTAGCTCTTGGATACACATAAACCTCATCTAATATATGCTTTAAACTCATTAAAAGATAACATGCTAGCCACTTTATCACTAATAAAATAAAAACATAATTACTAACTATATACTAAAGTAAAACAGAATAATAGAACATTTTAAAATACATAATTTACATAACTTATGGAATGGTGCTGCATCACTTTTGATAATATAAACCCTCTAAGCCGGTGATAATCACTCCCAAAAACATCAATGGTATGGCATCATCCGTGAATTTTGCATGTTATATTATACATAATAAATATACAACTAATACGTTCTAAATGCTTAAATATTATCATATTTATTACCTATATAATGAAGACATAAATACAAATATGTAATATACAACATCAATATAATTTATATATAGCTATGTACACTTCTTTGTAAACATATATGTGCATTTAGTTGTATAGACATACACATGGTTCAAGATTTAAATTTGGCGCAATTTGATTGTCTAAAAGAGATGGATCACCTTGTTGAGGTCATACTTTAAACCTAACTACTTTACAGAGAGCAAGGTGATAAAGAGCCAACTGTTTGGCCTAACTTTTTTTTAGCTTAAAAGTTATTATAAAGCTCTTATGAAAAATAATAACTTTTAGAGTTAAGCTGAAGTTGTTTGGTAAATTTTTTTATAAGTTCTTTTTTATAAGTTATAATTTTGGTTACATTATCATAAAGGATATTTTTTTTAAGAAGATAATATTGTAATTATTTTTAACAAATGAAGATATTTTTGAAACAAAAATAAAAATTTTCTTGTATTTTAAAAAAAAGAGAAGAAAAAGCTCCTATGAGGAGCTTTTCCTTAAGCTCTTTTTTAAAAAATTTTAATCTTTAAAAGAAAGCTGTTTTTTTTTTTTAAAGAGCTTTTTAAAATTTATGTTGGCCAAACTTTTACTTTTAAGATATAGATAAGTTGTAAAAAAGCCAGGCCAAACAAGCACAAAGTATCTCTTTTGATGGACTTCCCAAAGAAACAAGTCACTAGTGATGTCACATTATTGGTGATCATCCATCATGCAGTGATGGATATAAAACACACACCCCCTTATTGTTTAAAAACTTTGTTGCTATGGAGTTGTTTGTCAAATACGAATGAAATGTCGTTGTTTTAGTCGAGCAATCTGGGTACTATTAGACATTTCAATTTATTGAATTAATGGATTTCTTAGCTCTTATTTAGAAGTTTAAAGAACCTCTATGTATCTCCTACGTAAAATATGAGTCCTTTTATCAACATCTTTGCTATTTTGATTCATAAATGTTCTTAATTCTCCCCTAGAATTTGTCTTTAGAATTATCATCTTGCAAACTCCAAAAGCATATCTAAATTGTGTTCCTCTATGCTTTGTGCTTTAGAACCTCCTGAATGCTAAAGAAGTTTGCAGAGTGATTATTAAGCATAATGATGAATTTGATCTCGAAGTGAGCCCTGTTATGTGTGAAACTTTTGGCTTGGATGGTTGCTTCCAAAATCTTTTGGAAATGTTAAAGAATGCTGTATATTCTAATTTTATGGAAGAATGAGTGTTGTGTTGACAATCTCCATCCCTGAGAGTTTGTAGGTATCAAAAGATGGAACTTGGTGTTTTTTTTAAGCATAATGCTTTAAAAAATTTCTAAATTATTTAAGAAAATTCAAATAAGCTTTGTTTCTTCTATTGCTTTCAATTAAGTCTCTATACATTTATTTTGGGTCAAATAGACCTTTATTACTAAAGGTTGATTCTGCCTTTAGTTAAAATGGCATTTGTTATTTTATGCCTACATGGTGTTGATGTGGCTTAAAGGTGGAGGGTGGAAAAAGTCATGTGGTCTTGTCATCATGCTACACCAGTATGCCATGTTATCATCCTCTATGACATGTTAGTGTGTTAGCCCCATGTGACATAAAATGGCATGTGGCATTTTAACTAACCGTTGTTAGTCAATCGTGAGTCATAAGAGACTATTTGGTTGCAAATAGTATAAGGGTTTGATTGAATGCAATAAAAAAATAAAAGTTTATTTGAATTTTCTTAAATAGCTCAAGAGAATTTTAGATATTATGCTTTTATTTTAATTAGTATTTACATCCTTATAGATTTTATTTTTGTTCCTTGTCATTGTGGTTAGTAGACAACTCTAGTGCTGATAATGATTGTAATTAAAGTTTGGCTCTTGAGGATAATTTATTTTAGGGAGAAGTCATACTAAGGACAGCATTCAATTTCTTTTACAGAAATTTGAGGGTCGTTTTTTTTTTGTTATTGGTCTATTTAACATATCCTACAGAGATTTTGCTTTCCTGGCAAGTACAGTCTTCATTAAAAGGAAATGAAAATAACAGTTGAGAAGGGCAGAATTTGTCGGACATTATTATCAGGTGAAAACTGATTGCTTAATATATGCAGATCTATATACGCCATTATCTCCTAAAGTTTCGTGGTACATTCAAGGTAACGGGGAACTTTGGAAGCAGAAAGATGAAGATGGTTCATCCCCTAGCTTTATCACGACTCTCCGACAGGACTATTTCAAGTAAATATACTACAATTGGGCATGTACGTTTCAGATTTTGTCTGTCTCATTGGTTGAGCATTGAAAATCACCATATGCTGGTGCAGGTCAAAGCGTTGGTAATTTTTTGTTTTAGATTTTCTTGTAATTAGTTGAGGTTCACGATTTTGGAATGTCAAATCAGATAATAATTGATGCTACATTTTTGCAGTAGTCAGCTAATGCTTTCTTCAATATGTGCAATTTAGGCTTTTGTGTTTTAACCAGCTTCCTTTTTGTTCTCCCTCTCCCCCTTCCTCCCCCAGTTTTTAACTTGTAGCTGCATGTTATGTCCGCCTTGTGCAGAGGAGTGTAGTTAAGGTGTGTTAAGTTCTGGAATGAGGTAAACTGCGCATTCTAGTCTGTGTAATTTGATTTATTTAAAATTCCTACGAGACTGAAGAATGTAGGAAAACTTGTTCCTCCCTGATTATTTGTTGAAAGAAATAATATCATCTTGGACCTACATTTTTTCTTTAATATTAGTTAGGACCTACGTTTTTTCTTTAATATTAGTTACCCTGGGTTTGTGGTGAAATATTCATGGTAAATGATACCTATGGGTTTTGTCTGTCTTACTGTTTGTTGCATGCATTGAAAAGTCTCTTTTATCCTTCACCTCCTTGATCCTCCTCATCCCCATTTATTCAGGTATGCAGTATAAGGTTTAGAATTTGGAGATATAAAGCAATCTGCCGACATTCGCATCTTGTTGAGTTTATGCCTTTAGCAAAAACATACATTTGATTAAAAAAGCTTGAAATCTTCTCAAGAATTATGTCGACAAAGTTTACTCACCAAAAAGAGTAACAATTGTAGCTGAATTAGCGTTTGATATTTTTCACATTTTAATGTTTCCATTGCAAGAAAGCAACTTTAGTTTATTTGAGTTGGAGAGAGTACAGGTTTCATTGCATCTAGCATTCAGGGTGTATAGGCTTGATTTGCGTTCTTATAGAAAAAATATGGCAACTGTAACAGATGACCTGCAGTGCTTTGTTAGCGACAGCATAGTGCATTAGGAGAGATGCACGCTAGTTGGACTCATCGTAACCATGGAAATTTGTACCTTGCTTTGAAGGCAAGAATGAAAAGGTTCAATGCCAGAAATAGAGCTTGAAAAGTCGGGGAACAATAAAGGATATAGAAATGAAAATACGAGAAAGACCAAGTTGAGTTAAAAGGAGAGACTCTGAAAATGCCTCAAAGCTTAAAGGTTAATGATAATTAATTGAAAAAAGAAAAAAAATTTCTCAAAAAGGTCAATATGTTGAAATGCCAAATAATACTAAATGGTTTTCTGTTTTTTTAAAAAAACATATTGACAATGTTTTGAAAAATTTTCAAATTATTTAAAAAAATTTAAATTTTTTTTATTTTTTTATTATATTCAATTAAATTCTTGTACTTTTACTTTGAGATAAATAAGTCTCTATAACTAATGGTTGATTGATTATCGTTAGTTAAAATGTCGTTTAATACCAATTTCATGGTATTGATGTAGAGGTGAAAATGTTACCTGATCATATAATTATGTCACATCATCTTACGATATATCAACTTGATACGTCAGCACCACGTAGTATAATTGAAAAACATATGCTGGAATTGTTTAAACATGGTTTTGAAAAGTTTTAGCAGTATGTTTATTTCTAAAATAGTTCCATGAATAATGGCTTCAATGATCACGTCATAGATCTTGAGGGTGTGGCGAAAGGTTGGCTAATGCCTCATGGTTTGACGTGTTATAGAGAATCGATGTAAGGGACCCAAAAGGCTTAAAGTCGCCAACATCAACAGCGAGGTAAAAGCTGTTGTCGTGACGATTGTTGCACCAAATCTTGAGATTAGGACACCTAAAAGTGAATTAGACTTGTGATTGACCAGTGTAAATAAAATCTTATGAAATTAGGACACCTAAAAGTTAAATTTCAAAAAGAATTATGACTCCAAAATTGTTTAGGAAACTTGCATAATTCATACCTCTAATTAGATTACGACTCCTAAACTGGTTAGGATAGCATAAGAAAAAGTTCTAATATGATTTGGACAATAACTCGATTGGTTTTAGACTCCTTTTGAAACACTCAAATTATTTTAAGAAACTTATCGAAATTGTTTTTAGAATCTTGCATCAACTGTTTTTAGAAACTTACCTATATTCTTTTGAAAATTTACCTAAATTGTTTAGGAAATTATGCACCAAATATTTTTAAAATGATGTTAAACATTTTTTGACAAATACTATTTCAAATAACATATAAGCTCAATACTTAGAATTAAACATGTGTTTTAATTCATGATATGAATACAAATGGATGTGAGTGTGGATGGTTATGGATTTTGACCTTAAGCTTTTGAGAGCCGTATGGTTTAAGTTTGAAAAGTTGTTGGGCTAATGGTGCTTGGACCTGGATCGTTACAATTGGTATTAGAGCATGTGCCAATCTAGTGTGGGCTTTGATATTGCTTTGGTGAGATCTTGATCTTGTGGAGTGAGCCTTGATTGTGATTGTAGTGTGTGGGTGGATTGTGATACTCCATTTCACATTAGATGCGAATATGATTGTAAAGACCTATATAAGGATCTAAGTCAATCACTATTAAGAACTTTAGCTTAAGCTTTTGAGGGTCATGTGGTTTAGGCTTAAAAAGTTGTTGGGTTGGTGTTGTTTGGACTTGGGCCGTTACACCATCTTTATATAGTCACATCATTTCAATTATTAAGCACGACACTTTAAGTGCTTCATCATACATCATGGATAGTCTACCACATAAGGTATGGTCAACATCCAATAATTATTAGAAGTTCATTTCATACAAAAAAAACCGTGCAACATATCATATTAATGTCATAGGCGCATCATGTGCTCATTGTACACACCTCGGTGCTCAATTCTATCTATGGCCTTATCACCATTGGCTTCACATATATAAATCGCCAATCTTGGTGTTCAACATAATTAACTCATTCATGAGCATCAAACGTAAAATGCTAATAACTGATTTGCATGAAATGAAGTATAAGCATAATATAAGCATGAAGTGCATCATATTCTCATTTATCGCACAACATAATATAAGCATGAAGTAAAGACCTACTCATTAATGGAATATGACTGGACTTTCTAGGTTACAAGTGGTTGCTAGATCACCTACCAGGAAAGAAAGGATCTCATCTCTGTGACAACGTAAAATGCTAATAACTAATCTATTAAAAAAAAAAGAAAAACTAAAGTGTAAGGTACAAGGGCTCCGTGAGTGAAAACAAAAAGAAGACAATCCAAGGGGAAGAGCTTTTGCACAAATTACATCTTTAATGTAAACATGAATCTTAAGATAAACATATTTCCTTTTTTTCCAAATTCTCGTAAAACTAAGTTATCACAAACCTATCTCATTTTTCATAAGAAAGTCAACATTTCGTAAACATATAGTTTTTTAAGTGAGCTGAATATTTATGCAAAACCTTTAGGAAAAACAAAGAAGTTGTACCTTACTGGTGGTGTTGATCTTCTGTAAAAGATAACGATACTTAACCATTTAACCCAAGCTATGGTTAATTTGCTCTAACTTTATCATAAACCATATAAGCTACTCATGTAATCAAATTACCTCTAGAATTCAACTGTATAACATCACATGATCATCTACCATGCATACAACTTAAACCAATGTCTCAGAACTTATTCTATCTATCAATCTATCTTAACTAACTTATCATTTAAAGTATAATCTGTAATTCAATCAATCATTCTAAACGTAACAAGCATTCACAACGTATACATACGCTAGTCATAATATGCAATCATCATGTATGCTTAATGAATGAATACATCCCATCCACATATGGGTCACCCCCATTTGGGTTCCATAAGTGGCACATCGGCCTTACCCATGCTATGTGCCATCACCACATGATAGAATTTTCATCATGACGAGTGCGATTGCAATGTTGAGGATAATGGACCGTATTCGATAATCCTATGGGCCATACCTATTTACCCTAAACTTGCTGTGAGTGGCATTCTACCTCGCTCAAGTTGAGTGCCATCACCACATGGTGGTATTCTTATCATGATAAGTGGAATCGTTCTGTACATATCACTAGGCACCATCAACACGTGTGGAATGTTACATCACATCATGTGGAAACGCTAAGAAATATGCAAATACAAGGATTTTCTCATAACTCATAACTCATTTCATTATCAAAACCTACACAAGAATTACTAAGACACATACTTCACATCTATACTTATAAGGTATGTGGAACTACATCACATATTATTCCAAAGTATCATGATTCACATGTTTAAATATTCATCACATAAAACATATCATAAGCTTAAGGGAGGGAATGTCTACATCAACCTAAGCATTCAACTCTAGTTTCCATAGCAATAGTTTAAGTACCATTTTACTATAAATCATATTCTTTCAAAAATACTTAATCATCATACTTATCATCAAGTATGAAGGTGGGAAACTACTAGCCTTTAAATGACTTTTGTTTTGATTTGACAAAATTACATTTAAAATCTTTGTTATATAGAGTTATTTTTAACACATTTTGGAGACTTCAGTAGTTATACCATTGAGTTTTTAGGTTTAGATTTTAACATTTTAGGTGTTTTTCTAATGTAAGTTAGATTACATGTTGAATAGTTAAATTAAATTGTTTTAGTTTAATTTTACTTTATTTTGTTTTTAATTTACTTTAAGAAGAGGTAATGTCTATTTCTCTCATGGTTTTATGTAGGAGATGTGATGAGCAAGGTGAAATTGAGTTAAGATAGCATAAGTATGGTAAAGGCGTCACTTGTACATGCTACAATAATTTAAATCTAACTAAAGCTTTAAAAGTCCCATTGATGTGATTTTTCATCCATTGGAAAACTAAGAGAATGGGCTACTACTTTTATCTTTACCATTTTGTCCAGTTTGGACCAGATCAAGGTGAAAATCATGTTCAAAAATAGACAAATGCAGTTTTACACACAAGGCCGCATCGTGATTGAGGCAACGGCTCTGAGTTACTCATGGTTGCAACGTTGAAGGAACTACCATCGCAAGTACTAGAGGATTGTGGCCACGACACTGAGCGGGAGGGGTGCACCAGTCATATGGCCAAGAGTAGGCTGTTGTGGTGCCACCAAAGCATGTCACAGCCCCAAGAAGTCAAGCTGCGATGCCACCTTGATTTCCAAAAATAAACTTTCGATAGAA